AATAGTAATAGTAATAGTAATAGTAATAGTAATAATAGTAGTAATAGTAATAAAGCAAAATAAACAGAAAACCCCAAAGAAAACATTTTCCATCTCTGCTCCTCTCCCACTCTGAAATGAATAAATGTCTATGTGGAATGACTGTGAACTCCAGGCAATGCTAGCACTCACATTCTTGGCTTAGTATTCTTCAGTGCTCAGCGTATGTTGCTAGGTCTTGTTTAGTTTTGGCACTAAGCTCTGACTGGGGGATCTTCAGATTCTAGTCACTGAGTAGATCCTGCAAGGCTGAAGTCTGTCCACTTTCCCTTTAGATGGAACAGATCAAGAGGGGGTTCGCATTATGTACTGTGCAGCCACTTGCACCATGCACCAGGGTCTCCTTGAAAAACTGAGGCACTGTGAAGCCATTAACAAGACACTTGCGATTTTCTGTGGTCAGCAAATTGTCTGCAGAAGAAAAGGGGTCATCTGAGCAGTGACAGTCGTTCACCATTGCAACAGGCCTGTGCTATACTCACAAAGCCTGGTTATAGTCCCAACTTGCAGTAAAAGTGTTGCACAGTGACTCAGGTGGCAGCAACATCACTTCAAGTTTTCCTTTACCATTACGAAATCAAAATGACAGTATCATCATTAGTGCCAGATTCTGGTTTTGCACACTGATTTTAGTTGTTTTCAGTTCAAATTCTATGCATATCTAGCAAGGTTTACATCGTTCAGTGGGACTTAAACCCACATTATGGATCTACACGACATCAGCCTAAGTGGTTCACCGGGTATGTACAGTATTGAGATTCAACAGCATTATCATCCATAAAACATCCACTTTTTCAGACTAACTCTGTCCATAGTTTGGCGACCCTGAGAACCTGAAATTTAAAGCTACTATGAATGTTTCGCGAGAAGTCATGACTTGCCAAATATTGACAAAATCTTTTAATCATATGTACATTTATTATATGTATAATTAAATACTTTACATGTACTTTTAAAGTGGCGCATTATAACATTATTATCATTACACACAGCTGTACAAAAATAGTTTCTTTCTTTCCTTCTTTCTTTCCTTCTTTCTTTCATCCCATGCATTGCTCAAAACAAGAGCTGTGAATCCATCCATAACTGTAATCTCAATTTCATTTCAAGAAGAGCCCCAGGGTATATCAGTTTTGAAGTTTTGGTCCTTTCTGTCTGCAGAGGACCTCCAGGAGTAGCTGATGTGAAGCATGCTCAGGAATCTTTCCTTGCCCACACTCCCCAAATTGCAATCAGGAGGATCACAACAATCAGCATATAGAGTGTCTGTACAGTTGTCCTCTCATTCCCACACCACGGTTGGCACCCGCATGAATTCTGAACGTTCTCTCCGATACTTGCAGGAGGCTTGGGTCTATGAGCACGAAGGCAATGTATCCTACCAAAATGGAAAGAAAGGTTAGGACTGA